AACATCTCCAGGGGTTTTGGCGGTCCGCAAGTAATTCCAGCTCAGCTTCAGAGGAGCCTGACCCTGTGCCCAGCAGAAAAAAGAGCCTTATTTACGTAGCTACTGCACTTACAGGGAATGTAAACCATCTTCATTTATTCCTGGAAAAATAAATAATCCTTTGTACTAATGCAAACATACATCTTTGCAGTTCAAGAAGGCCCTTGCCATCTCGGTGACAAAATTTTATACTCTAAAGGTGATAACTTATAGTAAGTTAATTTCATTTACCGATCTATTCTTGCTCGTATTAGCCATCCCCAGTGTCCAGCATGTTTTAAAAACTCTCAGTTTCAGAAACCCAAGAGGTTACTGAGAATATAACGCTCAAAGAAAATGTCCCTCCCACAAAGAGTAAAATGTCCCTGAGCAGCAGCAGCTCTCCATCAGAAGCAAAGGAAAACTAAACAGTGGGTGGGGAGGTGGAGAGATGGGACCCCCACCACCCAGCTGGGGTCACATCAACATCTCCTAAGCACATATCCAATTGGAAAATTTATCAGCTGACATATACTAACTGCAAAAGTTATGGTCATTTTCTTGCTACAGAGTGTAGAAACCTTCTCATTAACTTCCCTGGTGGTATATAGCAGAAACAGATTCACCCTAACAAGGGTGGGCATCTGCTACGGAGCCTCCACAGATGAGTTAAGGGGGAGACAGAAATTAAGAAATGCTGCTTTGATGCATTCCCTTGTTTCAGCCACAGTGCACTGAAAAAACCCAGTAATATACCATATTTCTGAAAACCACGAAGAATGCTCATCAAATTAGACACAAGAAAGCTACCAAACCCCGATCAAGCTTATTCCTAGAAATGACAGTCACACTGGCACCACATCACATACCATGAGGGCCCTTACGCAAAGTCCCTTGATAATCAAAATAAGTTTTACTTGATAACTCCTAGTAGAATTAGTATTCTCAGAATGAGCCAAACACGTGGTCTTTCAAATCGTTATATAACAGCTCTCTTAGCACCCACTTCAGCAAAACCTTGAAATGAAGGACCTACAATCAGGCTGGAGAGGATTCTAGCCCAGCGGCTGCTAATAATACAAGAGCGAGAGCCTCCTTCGCTATTGCAATTCAGCTGCTGACTTCTGCTTCTGCTCACTGACAGATCTCTAGGCAACGTTTTTGTGACCATTAAATTCTAATTATTTTTCCCTGACTAATAGATCTGAAATCAAGCATTTCAAGAGGAAGTGTACATAAGAGGCAATAAAGCAAAGTAATCAGTATAAGGATTTAACCAAATACCATATTAAATTATACTTCAATGCTGCAAGCATAATTGAAAATCCTACTAGGGGAGGTGTCTATCTCAAAGTGCATGGATGTCAACATAATACCCTCCGAGGCCCCACACCAGTGTACGTCATGATTTCCAGTTTATGTAAACCTGAATAGGATTGGCTTATCACTATGAAAATTTGATTTAAGACAGAGCGAACCAGAGTACATTAAAAATGTTTGTGTTTATAGTTACATTCATAGCTATAGAAATAAATTTCATAAGATACTGGTGAGGCAAATTGTAAAATACAGTATTGAATAGAAGTGATTCCAGTTTTGTAAAATCATAATAATAAATCTATATAGATAATTTTCTCTATGAAATTGTGCAGAGAGAGAGGTCTTGAAAGGCCATTTACCAAACATGGTGACTTAAGGTACTGGAATTTACTTTCCCTTTTATACTTTTTAAATTGTTAAGATTCTCAATGAGCATTTAGGGTTAAAAGCAATGAATAAACTATAAAAAAAGAATACAAAAATGTCAGGGCACAGGTGAAGAATTTATCAATCTAGAAATACTCTTATGCCTGCAGTACATAAGGTGACAACCGACGGATGATGCCACATAAGACATGATTCTTACATCAGAGTTTATGGATCCTTCTATGGCTTCTTCAATTTCTTCCTTCTGATGCAGGAACAAACCGGTACTCTGACACATACCCTGCAGTATGCTTATATGGGTCATAATCTCCAATTCAGCTAAAAAGAAAGAAACTATTAGAAAACTATTCCTTAAAATACAAGATTAAAACATTCCTATTACACTTCAACATTTTTCTTCAAATGCCATATTAAAGTTCACAGAACTCAATTTTACCAAAACAACTCTGGATGGTATCAACAATCTTAGCTTAAAACATAGTTCTACATTTTTGCTTCCCAAAGACTATAATTATCATTTTCATTCAATTATTCTCACAGTTTATAGAAATAAAATGTTATAAACAGATTTAGAGTACACAATATTAGGAATGCTGGAGGTGACAAACAACCATGACCCCAATATATCCTCTCAGACAATGACACCAAGAGATGTGAGCATGTGATTCGAAATATGTCTTTGCCCCAAATAATAGCCAGGGAACGTAATACAATGCTGCATACATATCTCCTTACAGTTTACACAAAAGAAGCAAAATGAAACCAGAGAGCTCACTATATTATTCTTATGAAAATATTCCTTCCTATGTTAACTACTTGCAACGCCCAGCCCAGTTTTCTGCGTGACATTTTCCCTAGGATATTTCTTCTGGATTATTTCTGGTCTGCAAGTGCACAAATGCAAAGACCATGCTGTCGTATTCCACCCACGCCTAGCTTGAGTCCTGGAGGGTGTTTGATAATTATTAGAGAAAATAGTCTCCGCCTTAATCTCCAAAATGACAATGCAACCTGGAGCTGCCCCACCTGGGCACTGCCATGACGCTGACAGCCCACATGTCCGCCACACTCTGAGTCTACACTGGCACCTGGCCACACAGAAGCAGTGTGATTTCCAGGACATTAACGGCCTGGGCAGGCGATCAGTGATCGCAGGTGGGAATGCAGGACGTGGAGCAGAACAGATCGTTAGGCCCTTCACTTAACTGAGCATCAATGCTCTTCCTGCAACTACAACGCCACAAAACCTACTACAAGGGCTGTGTAAACGGCTCCCTTTTTACCTGCTCCAAAGGGACACCGATCAGAACTTGAGTTCTAAAAAATTTAACCTTTGCATTCATTTTCTAATATGTCTTTTGCTGCTCATCATGGTTTCCTAAAACAAGAAACCATCTCATTATTTTTAAAGAGTTAGAAGCATCCCCGAGTACACAGTCAATATAGAAATAAGAGTTAAAGATTTTAGAATAGTAATATTTCACTGATATTAGATTTAAAGCCCATTTGGTTATTAAATGCTTCATAGTACTGTCCTTTAAGAATACCTCCAAAATTCTGTAGAATCAGCTTTTTCCTTTCTAGCCACATTAATCTTAGGTTTTCAGTTTTTTAAAGATAAAACTCTATAGCAAACTTATAAAGGGCTTCTTCTGCAAAATGCTTCTACTTTGTGTAATGTTTATCCTAATTTGTAATCACTTTTTTGTTGGTGGTAGGAATTTGTGGCAAATGAGTTAGATTTATTAGAATCTTCCATACATTCCTTTAAGATTGAATTTTTAGAACTGAAAGTGACCAACAGCTGGTGTTTTTCTAAAACATTATGTTGTCTTATGTTGTTTATGAATATAACTTTGCAGGCTGCTATTTAACTTAGAGCAGAAGTAACTTTAATGCAAACAGTTCTGTGCATGTCCTTGCTACCCACTCTGTTGGTGACTTTTTCATTTCAGGATCCCCTTTTCTTAATTGGGATTTATCATTGCCCAGAAATAAAGATTCTCTAGTCTTTACCCAAAGAGATTGTATTTTAAAATTTTTGAGCAGTCTTAAAAGTAGAAGTAGGAGGGAACATGATGGAAACCTTAGAAAATTCACATATGTGTCTGCTGGTGGCTGCCTGAATTTTCTGAAGAGGGTAGTGGTAGTGGTGAAGCGTACCTCATAATTGTCCACATCAGAGTGTAAAGTCAAGACAAGCCATTTAAAAGCACCCACCCTTGACAGAATCCTGAAGTGGTTCTCAGTCCTTGTCTATGCAGGAGAATCACCTGGAGCTTTTATGTGTGTTTTGCTACTTTGGCCCCTGCACTAGAGATTCTTATTTAACTGGTAGCACCCAGGCATCAGAGTTCTAAGCTGCATAGGTGATTCCAGGTAATGTGCAGCTGAGACTGAATACCACTCTGTAAGGAACACTGGGTAAGTCCATCAGGGGCTCAATTGGTAGGCCTGGTTCCTTTTAATGAACTGAAGTTACAAGTTTGGATTAACACTAAGAAAAGTTTTCTTAAAAGCTTTGAGAAAAACGAGCAACAAGTTAGCTACTATCGTAGCTTAGCTAGCTTTCTAGGTCAATGTCTTCCAAAAATTAAATCCAGTATTAGTACAACACATTATAGCTGTAAGGCCAGTTAGGGTTTGACAAAAAGCTGTTATGTGAATAAATTCATAGTGATAGGCATGTGTTTGTTTTTGCAGGGAGAAAACAAGTCTGAGTATTTCTTAGGATTAACTCCGGTTGGTGTTGTTGTCTACAAGAATAAAAAGCAAGTGGGGAAGTATTTCTGGTAGGTATAACTTGAGTGCAGTCTAGGGTTTCAAAGTAAAACTATATTTGAATTATCAAGGAGCTTTGGGTAAGGGCCCTCATAGGTTTTATGTGATGGTGGTGCCAGTGTGACTGTCATTTCTAGGAATAAGCTTGATCGGGGTTGGTGTTTCTTGTTCTAATTTGATGAGCATTCTTCGTGGTTTTCAGAAATATGTGTATACTGGGTCTTCAGTGCTGTGCTGAAACAAGGGAATGCACAAAGCAGCATTTCTTAATTTCTGTCTCCCCCTTAACTCATCTGTGGAGGCTCCGTAGCAGATGCCCACCCTCGTTAGGAGTGAATGCTGTTTTCTGTATATTACCACCAGGGAAGTTAATGAGAAGGTTTCTATACTCTGTAGCAAGAAAATGACAATAACTTTTGCACTTAGTATGTCAGCTGATAAATTTTCCAATTGGATATGTGCTTAGGAGATGTTGATGTGACCCCAGCTGGGTGGTGGGGGGTCCATTCTCTCCACCTTGCGACCACTGTTCTAGTTTCCTTTGCTTCGATGGAGCTGCTGCTGCTCAGGACATTTTACTCTTTGTGAAGGGGACACTTTTCCTTTGGAGCGCTTATATTCTCAGTAACCTCTTTGGGGGTTTCTGAAACTGAGAGTTTTTAAAACATGCTGGGACATTGGGGATGGGCTATAACGAGCAAGAATAGATCCGGTAAATGAAATTAACTTACTATAAGTTATCACCTTTAGAGTATAAAATTTTGTCACTGAGATGGCAAGGGCCTTCTTGAACTGCAAAGATGTATGTTTGCATTAGTACAAAGGATTATTTATTTTTCCAGGGCATAAAATGAAGATGGTTTACATTCCCTGTAAGTGCAGTAGCTACAGTAAAATAAGGCTCTTTGTTTTCTGCTGGGTACAGGGGTCAGGCTCCTTCTGAAGCTGAGCTGAATTACTCTGCGGACCGCCAAACCCTGGAGATGTCGGCGTTGACCTCCACTCCCGTCTATGTGAGTACATTTATTAACACAAATATTTTAAGCTGATGACGTTTTTCTTAAAAGTCACAGAGACTCTGAAAGGGAAGCTGCAGTCCTGTTGTTTAGCAAGCAGGTGATACTTTTTCATCTTGTTTTAGCACAAAGCAGTTCTTGGTGGATTAAACCCTAATGAGTTTTGCATAAAATCTGTGATTATATTTTCATGTGTAGAGAACAATTAGCTGGCTTGAAAACACAATCTGGATAACAGCTCCAAAGGTTTAGCTAAACAATGTCAAAACAATTTAAAATTGGTCTAATAATTGTATTGTATTAGAATTTTCCAAAAATAATTTTATGGCTGAAACCATAATGAATACTGTAGGTAAATAGACATCGGGCAACAGCCGGGTACAGTATCTTTGTTCGTGTTGGATGTGCAGGTTCTGTCATATGGGTACCACCTGCTATAAGTATTATGCTTAATAGAATTTTTTCAGATTTTTTTTCAGTGATTATGATAACTGCTGGTATAGTCAGAGCAGTTACATGAAGTGCATTGAGTGACCTGGATCCAGGTCATAACTTGGAGCACTCATTTTTTTCTTTTTTTTGAGAACAGTCTCACTCTGTTGCCCTGGCTGGAGTGCCATGGCGTCAGCTGCCTAGCTCACAGCAGACTAAACCCTGGGCTAAGCATCCTTCTGCCCAGCTCCGAGTAGCTGGGATTACAGACATGCGCCCATACTGGCTAATTTTTTCTGGTATTTTATTGGCAATTAATTTTTCTTATTTTAGTAGAGACAGGGTCTCGTCTTGCTCAGGCTGGTTTCGAACTCCTGACCTTGAGCGATCTCCTGCCTTGCTCCTGGAGTGCTAGGAACAGGCGGAGCATTCTATCAATTAATTATCCTATGCCAGTGAGATTGAAATGCCATTGCCTTTGATTTTGTAAGAGTGGCAGTTAGCAATAGTCACATTTGATTATTTGAGCCGGGTGCCTTATGTGTCTTAGAAGAAATGAATTGCTAAAGATGTGTGTAGATCAGAATGTTGCACAGTTGGACATGGAATCATTGGTAAGGACCTGACGTAAACGTTCTGTAAGTAGAAATAATACTATGCAGCGTCATGGCAGTGCCCAGGTGGGGCAGCTCCAGGTTGCATTGTCATTTTGGAGATTAAGGCGGAGACTATTTTCTCTAATAATTATCAAACACCCTCCAGGACTCAAGCTAGGCGTGGGTGGAATACGACAGCATGGTCTTTGCATTTGTGTCACTTGCAGACCAGAAATAATCCAGAAGAAATATCCTAGGGAAAATGTCACACACATAAACTGGGCTGGGGCTTGCAAGGTAGATTAACATAGGAAGGAATATTTTCATAAGAATAATATAGTGAGCTCTCTGGTTTCATTTTGCTTCTTTTGTGTAAACTGTAAGGAGATATGTGTGCAGCATTGTATTACGTTTCCCTGGCTATTATTTGGGGCAAAGACATATTTCGAATCACATGCTCCATCTCTTGGTGTCATTGTCTGAGAGGATATATTGGGGTCATGGTTGTTTGTCACCTCCAGCATTCCTAATATTTGTACTCTAAATTCTGTTTATAACATTTTATTTTCTATAAACTGGTGAGCATAATTGAAATGAAAATGATAATTATAGTCTTTGGGGAAGCAAAAATGTAGAACTTATGTTTTTAAGCTAAGATTTTGTTGATACCATCCATATATGCTCTTCAGAGTTGTTTTGGTAAAATTGAGTTCTGTGTGAACTTTTAATATGGCATTTGAAAAAAAATGTTGAAGTGTAATAGGAATGTTTTAATTCTTGTATTTTAAGGAATAGTTTTCTAAATAGTTTTCTTTCTTTTTTAGCTGAACTTGGAGATTATGACCCATATAAGCATACTGCAGGGTATGTGTCAGAGTACCGGTTTGTTCCTGATCAGAAGGAAGAACTTGAAGAAGCCATAGAACGGATCCATAAAACTCTGATGTAAGAATCATGTCTTATGTGGCATCATCTGTCGGTTGTCACCTTATGTAGCTGGCAGGCATAAGAGTAGTTTCTAGATTGATAAATTCTTCACCTGTGCCCTGAACATTTTTGTATTCTTTTTTTATAGTTTATTTCATTGCTTTTAACCCTAAATGCTCATTGAAAACTCTTAACAATTTAAAAAGTATAAAAGGGAAAGTAAATTCCAGTACCTTAAGTCACCATGTTTTGGTAAATGGCCTTTCAGACCTCTCTCTCTGCACAATTTCTCATAGAGAAAATTTATCTTATATAGATTTATTATTATGATTTTACAAAACTGGAATCATTCTATTAATACTGTATTTTACAATTTTTTGCTGTCACCAGTATCTTATGAAATTTATTTCTATAGCTATGAATGTAACTTATAAACACAAACATTTTTAATGTACTCTGGGTTTGCTCTGTCTTAAATATGCAAATTTTTCATAGTGATAAGCCAAATCCTATTCAGGCTTTAGCAATAAATCTGGAAATCATGACGACACTGGTGTGGGGCCTCGGAGGGTATTATGTTAGCATCTCATGCACTTCTGAGAGTAGACACACTCCCCTAGTAGGATTATCAATTAATGGCTTGCAGCATTGAAGTTATAATTTAATTATGGTTATTTTGGTTAAATCCTTTATACTGATTAACTTTGCTTTATTGCCTCTTATGTAACATTCCCTCTTGAATATGCTTGATTTCAGATCTATTATAGTTAGGGAAAAAAAATTAGAATTAATCTGGTCAACAAAAAACGTTTGCCTAGAGGATCTGTTTCAGTGAGCAGAAGCAGAAGTCAGCAGCTGAATTGCAATAAGCGAAGGAGGCTCTCGATCTTGTATTATTAGCAAGCGCTGGGCTAGAATCCTCTCCAGCCTGATTGTAGGGTCCTTCATTTCAAGGTTTTGCTGAAGTGGGTGCTAAGAGAGCTTGTTATATTAATAACATTATGAAAGACCACGTGTTTGGCTCATTCTGAGAATACTAATTCTACTAGGAGTTTCAAAGTAAAACTATATTTTGAAATTATCAAGGAGCTTTGCGTAAGGGCCCTCATATGTTTTATGTGATGTGGTGCAAGTGACTGGTCATTTCTAGATTAGCTTGATCGGGGTTGGTGCTTTCTTGTGTCTAATTTGATTGAGCATTCTTCGTGGTTTTCAGAAATATGGAGTATTACTGGGTTTTTCCAGTGCACTGTGGCTGAAACAAGGGAATGCATCAAAGCAGCATTTCTTAATTTCTGTTTCCCCCTTAACTCATCTGTGGAGGCTCCGTAGCAGATGCCCACCCTTGTTAGGAGTGAATGCTGTTTTCTGTATATTACCACCAGGGAAGTTAATGAGAAGGTTCACTCTGTAGCAAGAAAATGGACCTAAACTTTGCAGTATATGTCAGCTGATAAATTTTCCAATTGGATATGTGCTTAGGAGATGTTGATGTGACCCCAGCTGGGTGGTGGGGTGTCCATTCTCTCCACCTCCCCACCACTGTTCTAGTTTCCTTTGCTTCTGATGGAGAGCTGCTGCTGCTCCAGGGACATTTTACTCTTTGTGGAGGGGACACTTTTCCTTTGGAGCGCTTATATTCTCAGTAACCTCTTTGGGGTTCTGAAACTGAGGTTTTAAAACATGCTGGACACTGGGGATGGGCTAAACGAGCAAATAGATCCGGTAAATGAAAATTAACTTACATAATATCACCTTTAGAGTATAAATTTTCACCGAGATGCAAGGCCCTTGAACTGCAAAGATGTATGTTGCATTAGTACAAGGATTTTTTTTTCCAGGGAATAAAATGAAGATGGTTTACATTCCCTGTAAGTGCAGTAGCTACAGTAAAATAAGGCTCTTTGTTTTCTGCTGGGCACAGGGGTCAGGCTCCTTCTGAAGCTGAGCTGAATTACTTGCGGACCGCAACCCCTGGAGATGTGGCGTTGAGCCTTCCATCCCGTCTAGTGAGTAAATTTAATTTGAACACAAAATATTTAAGCTGTTGAGTTTTTCTTAAAAGTCACTGAGACTCAGGAAAGGGAAGGCTGCAGTCCTGTTTGTTTAGCAAGCAAGGTGATACCTTTTCCATCTTGGTTTCTAGACAAAGCAGTTCTTGGGTGATTAAACCCCTATGAGTTTTGCATAAATCTGTTGTTATATTTTCATGTGTAGAGAACGATTAGCTGGCTGAAAAACACCAATCGGTAAAGCTCAAAGGGTTTAGAAAAACAATGTCTAAAACAATTAATTGGTCGTATTAATTGATTGTATATGATTTTCCAAAAAGAGATTTTATGGCTGAACCATAATGATTTACTGTGCTAGGTAAGAGTTAGACATCGGGCAACAGTCCGGGACAATTTGTGTCGTGTTGGATGTCAGGTTCTGTCACTATGAAGGTTTACCCTGCTTATAAGTATTTATTGCTTAAGAATTTTTCGATTTTATTTTTCAGTGATTATGATAACTTGCTGGGATATAGTCAGTGAGCCAGTTACACTGAATCTGCATTGAGTGACCTGGATCCAGGTCATAGACCTTGTGAGCCACTACATTTTTTTTCTTTTTGTGAGACCAGTCCACTCTGTTTGCCTCTGGCTGGAGTGCCATGGCGTCAGCTGCCTGAGCTCACAAACCTCCAACTCCTGGGCTCAAGCAATCCTTCTGCCTCAGCTTCCGAGTGCTGGCTAGAATTACAGACTGCGGCACCATAACTGGCTAATTTTTTTCTGTATATTTTTTATTGGCCAATATATTATTTCCATTCGTAGTAGAGACCAGGGTCTCGCTTTGCCCAGGCTTGGTTTCGAATCTGACCTTGACGATCCTGCCTCTGGCCTCCTGGAGTGCTAGGATACATGGCGTGAGCCATCTTCTTATCAATTAATTATCCTATTGCCAGTGAGAGAAATGCATTGCCGTTTGTTTGTAAGGTGGCAAGTTTAGCAATAGTCACATTTGATTATTTGAGCCGGGTGCCTTATTTTTTTTTTTATAAGAAATGAATTGCTAAAGAGTATGTGTATAGATCGAATTTTTGTCAATTGGACCATGGAACTCAATTTTTAAGGAACCCTGATAAAACTTTCTGTAATGCAAATAATACTCATGCATCATTTTTAATATGCTTTTGTGTTTCTGTCAATGTTTCCTAAAACAAGAAACCTATCATTATTTTTAAAGAGCTTAGAACATCCCCGAGTACACAGTCAATATAGAAATAAGAGTTAAAATTTTAGAAAGTAATATTTCACTGATATTAGATTTAAAGCTCATTTGGATTAAATGCTTCATAGTACTGTCCTTTAAGAATCCTCCAAAATTCGTAGAATCAGCTTCCTTTCTAGCCACATTAATCTTACTAGGTTTTCATTTTTAAAAAAACTCTATAGCATTTAAAGGCTTCTTCTGCAAAATGCTTCACTTTGTGTAATGTTATCCTAATTTGTAAATCACTTTTTGTTGGTCGTAGGAATTTGTGGCAAATGAGTTAGATTATAATCTTCATACATTCCTTTAAGATGAATTTTAATGGAAGGGCCAACAGCTGGTGTTTTTCTAAAACATTATGTTGTCTTATGTTGTTTATGAATATAACTTTGCAGGCTGCTATTTAACTTAGAGCAGAAGTAACTTTAATGCAAACAGTTCTGTGCATGTCCTTGCTACCCACTCTGTTGGTGACTTTTTCATTTCAGGATCCCCTTTTCTTAATTGGGATTTATCATTGCCCAGAAATAAAGATTCTCTAGTCTTTATCCAAAGAGATTGTATTTTAAAATTTTTGAGCAGTCTTAAAAGTAGAAGTAGGAGGGGACATGATGGAAACCTTAGAAAATTCACATATGAATGGTGACTGCCTGAATTTTCTGGAAAGGGTAGTGGTAGTGGTGAAGCGTACCTCATAATTGTCCACATCAGAGTGTAAAGTCAAGACAAGCCATTTAAAAGCACCCTTGACAGAATCCTGAAGTGGTTCTCAGTCCTTGTCTATGCAGGAGAATCACCTGGAGCTTTTATGTGTGTTTTGCTACTTTGGCCCCTGCACTAGAGATTCTTATTTAACTGGTAGCACCCAGACATCAGAGTTCAAAGCTGCATAGGTGATTCCAGGTAATGTGCAGCTGAGACTGAATACCACTCTGTAAGGAACACTGGGTAAGTCCATCAGGAGCTCAATTGGTAGGCCAGGTTCCTTTTAATGAACTGAAGTTACAAGTTTGGATTAACACTAAGAAAAGTTTTCTTAAAAGCTTTGAGAAAAACGAGCAACAAGTTAGCTACTGTCGTAGCTTAGCTAGCTTTCTAGGTCAATGTCTTCCAAAACTTAAATCCAGTATTAGTACAACACATTATAGCTGTAAGGCCAGTTAGGGTTTGACAAAAAGCTGTTATGTGAATAAATTCATAGTGATAGGCATGTGTTTGTTTTTGCAGGGAGAAAACAAGTCTGAGTATTTCTTAGGATTAACTCCGGTTGGTGTTGTTGTCTACAAGAATAAAAAGCAAGTGGGGAAGTATTTCTGGTAGGTATAACTTGAGTGCAGCGTTGGTATTAAAGTTACGTGCTGTGTATATGGGGCTTATGAGACTTGTGTGTCAGTGAAAAAGTTAGGGGAAAGAAAACAGGTGCATTTCCAGTGGTTGATTAAAAAAAAAATGAGTGAAATTGGGTGAAAGTTTTCTCTCAGTGCAACGTTTAGGACATATTTCCTCTGTAAATTTTAGGCACTGTGATTCTGGACTCTTTTGTACAGGGAAGCTGTATGCAGTGGGATTTCCCATCCATTCCAGTGTGTGCCAGTGGGCTGAGAATCCAAGACTGTCTGAGTTAGCTCTGAATGGGGAAGGATTGCAGAGATTGGGTAGCCTGTGACCCTGCTCCGTGGCTGGGAAGGCAGCCCTGCCACAGCCTGGGGGTTCCAAGTTTGTGCATTTCTTTAAAGCCAGTCAGATTTTGCAGTGGGGGTTGTATACCAACTTTAGTGATAGTAATGTTAATCAGTTCTGATAACCCACTACCATCAGACCAGCCTTGTCTGTGCATTTAGTGGAGAAACAGGACGATGAGAATGGAGTTTTCTTTAGGAGGATGTTCAGAGCAAAGGGGCATTCAGGGAACTCTCTACAGTCATGCAGCTATATATAAAGGAGCCAATATTCACCAATCTTTTCCCACTGGTTACTTCTCTGAATTTCTGAAAAAGTAATTCTTAAAAACAGCAGCACCACCACCCACCATCTGCTTTGTTTTTCAGGCCTCGGATTACAAAGGTTCACTTCAAGGAGACTCAATTTGAACTGAGAGTACTGGGAAAAGATGTAAGTTTTTGTGAGCACTTAGCTGAAATGAGAAGGAGAGTCTTGTGTGCTCGTTTATAACTTGACATTGTGAAATAAAACTTCTGTATTTTCTTCAGCTGCAGCCACATGGAGCCAGGTTAATTAACTCACATGCGTAACTTTTCAAGGAAAAGAAAGGGAAGTGAGTAGAAATGAATAAGGCAGTGATGAACAAGTATTGTTTTAGTTTTAGCAAAGGAAACCAAAACCTTTCTAGAGAAAAGGAGAGAATAGAAGGTGATTATCATTATCAGTGTAATTGCTTTTCAGTGCTGTCTGTAGGCAGGAGTCATATAATCAGAAGGGTATATCCTGCCCGTGGGAATGCAAAAACATATCCTCATTTTGCTCTGAAGCAAATTAAACAACCTGTTAGGAGTCACCCTTTGGCTCCTACCCCAGCTGAGCATGATAGACAAACCAGATGGAAATTCTGAATGCTTTCAAGGGAGAAGGCAAGATGAGAATGCAAAAATGTTGACCTTCACTCTGCAGCTTGGCAGTGTCCTCTGGGAGTTTTTGGGTAATGGGCAGGCACAGGATTTGTCAGAGCCTGGGTGTGCTTTCATGCCTTGACAGGCAGCTTTGTGGAAACTGGTCAAAAGAAGGCAAGGATGCGAAAGCTTCCTTTTGATCTACCTGTGAAAATAATGCTCCCTTGAAGTGTTGTTACTGTAATCCATATGTTATGGGATAAATGAGTAAAAATATGACATGTAATCCATATTTATAGGATACAAGAGTGAAAATATGTAGGAGAATCCATCCTTCTGCCTCTTTGATACTAACTTTAGACAAAACTAAAATTATAATTTTAATTTAATTATAATTTTATTTATTTATTTTATTTATTACAAATAGTTATTTATTATAAATACATTAAATAAATTTTATTTATTTAATTTTAATTAAATTATAATTTATAATTTTAATTTAATTATAAAATTAAAACTAAAAACAAAAACTAAGTGAATGGAGTTGAATTGATTTTCTTGATGTTCAAAAAAAAGAAAAATCAGTGCTAATGCATCCAGATGTTGAGGCATAGGAGCTACACTTGGGACCTGGTATGTGGTAGAGCACCTACATGCAGAGGTATTCAATAAATGTTTCTTGAATGAATGATCAATGAACAACTGGTGTGCTGAGACACTGTATACTGCCAAACCGGAAAACCTGATGCTACTATTTGTTCTCCTTCTAGAAAAAAATATTATCCCACCCTGAACTATATGGCATGCTGCCATGTACTGATAAAACTGGATTTTGAAATGAGTTTTAACTTGTAAAGGGAAATTCCAGATTTTCAAAGAAATGATATTCCAAAAGCCGCATTGTAGTTTTTAATAGTCTAGTTTAGAGGAAATCCATCCAGGGTGTTCAACTCCGGATTAAACATGTCAATCTTGAAAGATGTGCCAATGTAAGACTGAATGAAAATTATTCAAAAACTAGAATAGCTAATTGGATAGTAAGGTTATGTAGTTTTCTCCCTGTCCTGCCACTAGGTTCACACTGAAGAACAAGATCTATTAAATATATTGAATGTAATGCTTCATGTTTTTTTAGCAGAATATGATAATAAAAATGAGACTTTTGTGGAAGCATTACAGTTATTCAAAGTATTCTCACCCCTTGTCCCTGTTATTTTTGTGAGTGAGGTCCTTTGGTGAACTGCTGTTATGTTATTACAGTGTCTTAAAATGTATGTTTACTACTGGCTCAAGATAAATATTTGGTAAAGTCACAGCTCACTGGAACTTTCAACTTCTTAGACTTCATTATTAGGCAAAACAACAGCAACAAGATTGGTACCATCATGGTATTTTTCAAGTGGCTGTCTCCATGGTGTGACCTGGCTCCCCGCACACTCCCCTCAGGACTCCTCCACTCTCACCCCATCTTCTCCCCGGCTTTGAGACAAAATGGGCGTTTGGGGGGGCCCGAGGCACGGCACACTCCTGGGCCATTAAGCAGGCCTAAAGTGTGTCGGTGGTCTTTGGTAAGGATTTTTGAAAACTGTTACTAAATAGCACGTTAATTTAGCCAAAGCATTCCCTTTCTTAAGCTCTCCTGCTTGCAGAGTCTTTTCTCTTTCTCCACCGGGGTGCCTCTCTGTGAGGCAGTGATTTACGTGATAGTTGAATTAAGTTTATTATGGAGGCCTGACTGTAATCACAGATTGAATTAAAAAACCCCTTAAAAGCTATCGCCTGGAACAGCAATCACATTCAGCCTGAAGAATGGTCAGTGCGCTTACTCTGCGGGTGTTTTTCTGGTCTGTTGGTCTGGTCAGAGACTTAACTCCATGTGTTCAGTTCTTTTAGGTTAAATTCAGAGACATTTTAACTACTTAAACTTCAAAATAGGTACTGTGGTTTAAACAGTACCTCACAGAAAATCTAAGCTTTTGGTGTAAAGATCTTGTTGACTGTAGAAGTAGAAAATCTGGAAAATATTAATATAGTACAAAGAAGAAAATTAAAATTACCCATTATCCTAAAATTCAGAGGTAATGATTATTAATATTTTGGGACCGTTGCTTCTAGATTTTGCCCTATTCATGTGAATGTATAATATATGTGTGTATACACATATGTAGATCATTCCCTGTATGGTTTTATACATGCTTTATGTGAAACATAATAGTTTCACATTTTTAAAATTCATTCACATGTGAGGGCCAGGTGTGGTGGCTCATGCCTGTAATCCCTGCTCTTTGGGGGGCCGAGGCAGGAGGATCTCTTGAAGTCAGGAGTTTAAGACCTGAACAACAAAACAAGACCTCGTCTCTACAAAATGTAGAAAAAAATAGCTGGGCATGGAGGCACGTGCCTGTAGTCCCAAATACTAGGGAGGCTGAGGCAGGAGACCACTTGAGCCCAGGAATTTGAGGTTTCAGTGAGCTATGATCATATTGCTACACTGATGCCAGGGCAAAAAAGTAAGACCCTATCTCAAGAAAAGAAAAAAAAAATTGCCTGGTGTTTGATAAGTTTACTTTTTATGTGTTTTAATTTTTTTCTTGCCGTGATGGACACAATCTTTTCCTTCTATTATATCTTCATACTGATTTTTGCTAGAAGAAGTGAAAGCTATGGAATTTCATACAGTTTTCTCAGATTTGACCATTTTGCCAAATTCTTGTATTCCAGCCAAGAGTTTTAAATTTCATTCTCATAAATTTTCATAGGTATATAATTATATCATTTGTGAATGAAAATAATTTATTCCTGTTCGTGTTATTTATATTTCATATCTATAGTGTTGGTTGGAACTTCTAGAAGACTATTAAGTGATATAGCAATACAAGGCATCCTTGATTGATTTTTATTTTATTGAAAATACCACTACTGTTTCATCACTTATGTGTTAGCTCTTGGTTTTAGGAATGTGTGTTTATTACTGGGTGTTGAAAATTTTTCAAATTTATCATCAAATGGGTGATTTTCACTGAATGCCTTGAGAGCCAAGACTGTTGCTTATTCATTCATTCAACAACTTATGCTTATTTTAAAATCCAGGCAAGAGATGCTAATGACTGTGTATCAGTACATCAGGGTAGCAGCCTTCAAAGCTCTGAGAAGCTGTTGGATCCAGGGTTTCCTGGATGGGGAGATGAGAGACAGACAATTCCTAGTAGCTTAACCTTGTTTAGCCTGAGAAGCAGGAAGGAGGGGGCTGCCATCAGGCAAGGTGGGGAAGGCAATGGATAGAGCAGGCTTGGGAGCAAGATCAGGAGTCCCTTTTTAACATGTTGAATCTGAGATGTCTTCTACACATCTGAGTGGAGTTATTAAATAAGAGTGTGCTGTGAGCATGCTCAGTACCAAGGTCTGAGCAGAATATACAAATTGAGACTCATTGGTGCTTCCTGGCACCTTCTTCTTTTATGGCAAAGCCATAAAACTGCATGAAGTTACTAGGAGGATGAGTATAAATGAGGAAAGAAGAGGGAGAACCAGCAAAGAAGGCTGAGAAGAATCAGCCAGTGAGGTAGAAAGAACACCAATTATGTTATCCTGGGTGCCAAGCATAGGTCATGTAGTAAGGAGGCGTCAAACAGTGACAATATGTCAAATAGTACAAGGACTGAGAATTGACAGCAGAATTTAGGAGTGTAGGAGATCACTGACAAGATGAGTTTCAATGGATTGAGAGAGTAAGCTTGTGCCCATAAGTTCCTCTCGAGAGATACAAGAAACATGTATGTTCTGTGCAGCACTTATATAAAAGTTGGAAAAAAAAGAGAACTCTTAAGTCCATTAATAGAAGAGTTAAAAAAATAAAATTGATGTATATCCATTAAGAAAAAAAACCAAAGAGGCAGCAGGAGGGGAATTGGAGATAGTGAGTGTTGGCACAGAGGGAATAAATAGGGATCTATAATAGCTGGCAGGGACTGCAGTAGCATCAAGATGTGAGAGGCATGACTAAGGTTGACAGCCACCGTGAGAGATTGCAGGTGGCGTGGTAACCTGATGAAATTCAAAGCTGGAAGTTTTAGAGGGAAGGAAAGAGAATGGTTTGAAAGCAGCAAGCAGGGAGGCTCTTCCCCCACTGTCAAGCTCAGTGCTGCAAAATCACTGGGGACAAAAGGCACGGCCTCCACTTTAGAGGCCAGGAGTGGAAACAGTGGCCTTAGGGAGTGCCAGGTGTCTACTAATTCAAGAGGGTGAAGGAAATGTAAGAGAACGGACTGCAGAGCCATGGGGTTTTGCTGTGAGGGGGCACAAGGCAGGGGTTTGGGAGTTGGGTGGTAGTGGAGAAAGAGACGAGGGGATGGGCTGAGCATTATTTGGGAGTGACTGGCATAAGCTGAAATAAGCATAATGAAAATTGGTCCAGTGCATGTGGGGAGGGAACAAGAATTGGGTTTCCACATCTGCCCGGTCACCCTGGTGGTGAGGGTAGAAGGCCTACGGGAGGTGGGGTGGCCCCAGTGCACTAACTAGTTCAGTCTGACCCTTCTTGGGGAC